GTCGTCGAAAGCGGCGAAACTTCCATCGCGGAAGATCCATTCGATCGATGACGCTGGGTGAATTGGTTGTACCATATGATAAGAGAGTATTTGGCGACATTCTCGTCGTCGCGTGACGGAATTACCTTAAGCTAGTCTCCCGTGTAAAGAAGCAGATGGTCGTACCATGTGATATTTAATGGGTGTGAGTGGATTCGTGTTTCTGTGCCGGGTTGTGCGTTATATAAGTTCGGGAAAAATCGGATGCGATCTTCGTTGTTTCGAATAGCCAGCGTTCCTTCTTTGTTCGAAAGACGAGGAGACAAAGAAACGTGGACAACGAGTAGAATTCAGTTTCAATTTTTATCCATTGAACCGCTTGCCTCGTGACTACGATTATTTACGCCGATTCCTATTTTTACGAACAGCTGATGGAAGAAAGAAAAGAAAGTTTGTTTCGTTTGTTAATACTTTACCGACTGCTAGCAATTCAACGGCACGTCCGACCGGCATCTCAGGCGCAGATTCTCCCTGGCGCCGGCTCTGTTTCCGTTTAGACTCTCCAATCTTTCGATTCTTTTCGTTTATCGCGAACGACACGTTTTTCAAATTGGTATAAAACCGTGGGAACTTACAGAGCAACGCAACTGACGCAACTAAGCAAGGCACCTTAATATTAAATAATAAATTACTGCTCGAATAATGAGAAAGATTGTCGGCGACAAAAAGCCGATTAATAGAATATCGGTCGGTAAGCGTCGGTGACAAAAAACCGATTAATCGGTTATCGGTCGGTGACGAACAACTGATTAATCGGTTATCGGTCGGTAAATTGTTAAATATTATAGCGAGTTTTCATTGAATATTTTACAGGCATATTTCTACCTATTTTACGAGTAGTTCTGCACATTCGAGTTTCTCAAACTTCGTAGCAGGGATTACAGTTTCTATCGCGAGGAAATTACGTTTCGACTTTAACGTCAACTTTCGTTCTATGATTCGTCGCAATATAAATCATTTGTAACATTTTCATACGATATCGTACAATTATTGAATGTAATACGCGCGATGTCAGAGCAATAAAGAGCAAATTCACATAGATAAGTATTAAGAGAATCATGAGGCAAGAGTTTGAAATTATCGATAAAATAATCATTCGTTCGATCAGTTGTTTGTCGGCTACAAAAATAACAATGATAGCAAAAAATATGATCCAAAGATAGATCGTTTAAATACAAGTGGTAAAAAACAACAATTTCATTGTCCTCGATTTTCTCGTTCTTGTTTTGCGTGATATTGATCCAATCAGTGTGCAATATCGCGAGCTATATAGAGAGAAAGAGAGAGAGAGAAAGAGAGAGAGAGAGAGAGAAAGAGAGAGAGAGAGAGAGAAAGAGAGAGAGAGAGAGAGAGAGAGAGAGAGAGAGAGAGAGGAAGAAAGTAGTATTCGCGAACCAATGAGCAACAGTCGGATTAATTGTTCTTTCCGGCGTTGTATTACGTAGTGCACCTGTTGCATTCGAGCATTGGGAAAAAAAAATTGGGCTTTTTGAGGAATGGAATTGGAAAACATGACGGATGTACGATTACGTACGTTGTAACAATGAAGTTTTATATAATACACTGTATCTATTATACGGTAGATCCGATTTTAGCCAGTTCTCATTACGATTCCTCTTCCGGCTTCCTTCTCGCTGAAAATAATTTGATTTCGCCATCGTTTCCCCTCGGGTGAATATTATTTCGCTTCGTAAACTTTTAATTAGCGGAATGTTACGTTTTAGAACTTATTCGGCCGTGATTCGATCGATTTTGTAATTTCAGCTAGTTTTCAGAAACGGCAAGTCCTCTAGATTCCAGTTTAAAGACGCGTCAGTAAAAAATAAAATAAAAAGTAAAGAAAAACATCAAGGGAGATTATTCGTTCGAAGATATCGAGGGATCGAGGGATGTAAGCTACTTCCTGTCCAAGTATCTCCATCTGTTCCGATTTGGAAGAGACCGACGACCAAGTCGGTAAAGTTGCTTCCTTCGTTCTTTGTTTTCGATTCTCTGCGCTTATGGGATCGTTTCGGACGATGCTCTATAGTAAATCCTACAGACACGTTCTCTGCAATGAATTCACGATAAAACAAAGATACAATTGCGAGGAAACTTCGTCGAAACTGCGTATATCGTCTGTAATTTCAAACTAATAACAAAGATCGACGAAAGTAAGTATGTACATATCCAGCGAGACGTCGTGACTCCGTAAACGATCGTCGATCACGAAGGGAATTCAAGGTAAGTCCGTAGTCGATAAAGCTGTAAAATCACTTATCGATAGATATTCTCTCTACGCGTTTCCTAGTTATTTCATATCCCATCGAAAAAACCATCGCGTAAATTACATCCAAAGTGCCAATAGTTATTCGTTAGATCCAAAAACTCTTTCCAGAATTCCAAATAAAGTACCGTTACATTCAAAGAAGGAACACGATGCCACGTCTCTCGACTCGAATAATCCTCTCCAATTACTTCCCTTCTTCGCTTTGCAATTAAGAAGAGCCAGCTTCCTACTTTCAATTCCTGTTCCCTATCTCCGGCAAACTCGCGATTCGCAATTTACCTCCGTTCTCTGCAAATGTATATCCTTGACACGCGTGTTGCCTCCTCGGAGGCAAGTTGGTTTCTACATCAAAGAAGAAAGTTATCGTTCCACGATGGTCCCGTTACGTATCGCGGCACACGAGCCGCTTCT